ATTTTCTTTGAGCATCATGTTGGTGCTAAAAAAAAGTTGTGAATTTTGGAGATTTTTGAATTTTGGATTTTCACATTTAGGATGCTCATCCTGTATTACCAAAAAGCACAGTCCATGAAGCAAAGAAGAAAGATAAATTGTATTTTATCACAATTAAAAACTCACTTTGTGAAAAACATTGTTAAGAAAATGAAAAGTCAATCTACAGACTGGGAGAAAATATTTGTAAATTACATAGCTGATAAAGGACTTGTATCTGTTAAGAAAATGAAAAATCAGTCTATAGACTGGGAGAAGACATTTGTAAATTACATAGCTGATAAAAGACTTCTATCAAGAACATATGTACAACGCAATTCAGCAGTAACAAACAGCTCAATAAAAATGCACAAAAGATCTTAACAGACACTTCACCAAGGAACTTATGCAGATGGCAAGTAGCCACATGAAAAGATACTCAACATTACTTGTCATTAGGGAAATGGAAAATAAACCACAATGAAATACTACTGTGTACCTATTAGAATGGTAACACTGATGCCAAATGCTGGGAAGGATGCAGAGCAACAGGAATTCTCATTCATTGCTGGTGAGATTGCAAAATTATATGGCCACTTTGGAAGGTAGTCTTACAGTTTCTTATAAAGTTAAATTAGACTTACCATAGAAGTCAGCATTCTAGGATAATTTGCCAAAGTGAATTGAAAACTTAAGTACATAGAAGAATCTGTACACAAATGTTTATGGCAGCTTTATTCATAACTTCTAAAACTGGAAGCAGCCAAGATGTCTTTCAGCAGTGGAATGGATTTTTAAAACTCTGGTACATCCAAGCAAAAGAATATTATTCAGCAATAAAAAGGAATGAGAATTGATTCACAAAACCATGTGAGTGAATCTTAGCTGCATGTTAGTCAGTGAAAGAAGCCAGATCCAAAAGCTTTGAATTTTATGATTCTATCCACATGATCTCCTGGAGAAGAGCAATACTATGGGGACCGAAAACAGATTCGTGGTTAACAATCTGTTGGAGGGCGAAGTGGTTGACTAAAAGAGATGCGCGGAGAAATTTTTAAGGCGAAAGAACTATTCTTCATGGTACTGGAGTGGTACATACATGACTTTATGCATTTGTCAAACCTCACAGAGCTGTAAATCACAAATAGTGAAGCTTGATGTATGTAAACTGGGGGAAAAAGGCATCAAAGAGCCTATCACAGGATCAATCCCACGATAAAATGTATTCTCTTGACAAATGAACCCAGTTCTTAACAAATGAGTGACATAACTGCTTAAGGTGATGGGGGCAGGGAGTGTCCTAAGTTACTGGAAAATGGTGTTTTGACTGGAAATTATAAGGATGAAGAATAAAGATACAAAAACTGTATGTTCTAGTTGGTAAATATGTTTTCCAAAGGAGTATTTGTTAACATGTCTGAAACTGCTTTACATGTGTACTGAGATTAAACAAATAAGTGGATAGCGGATGGTGGGAGCCAGGTTTCTCACTCTAAGAGAGGGAAGTTACAGATAAAAATGGAAGGTTAAAATGAATTCTGTGATTCAGGATTAGAATTGAAAACATCAGTGTGAACGCATGTTTAGCTTTGTATATTGTACAGATGGAAAAACAAAATTTTATGTGTGTGCATATATATATATATATGTGTGTATGTATGTGTGTGTGTGTGTCTATGTGTGTATATATATACCCTAGCTCTGTCCACTGAGATAGCCTGGAAGGAATGACACCCCAATAGCAGTGAGCAGTCTCAGCATTCAGATCTTGGTTCTACATACAAATCTCAAAGAAAAGGTACTATGCTTCTTGGAGAAATGGCTTATTCTAGGACTGGGACAGGGAAACTACATAAACCTGTAATATATTGTAACAGAAAGTAAGAAAGTGCTCAACAAGTAAAGGAAAGGGGTATTTCAAACAGATAAAGGAGCCAAGCTGAAAGAAATGCCAATGGCCAAAGCTAGAACAATTGAACAACAAAATAAAGTAGTATTTATTGAGTGAGTGTCGGCTACACTTAGTGACATGCTTCCAATTAATAAAGTATGGAAAGGGGAAAATAGTAACTTTACAGTGGAAGAAACTGGCAAACACTACGCAAGTGACCTGTATTGGTATCTTGAGTAGTGTCATGTGGATACCATGTACTGCCTCATGTGTTGTGATTAAAAAGGCATTTCACCTCTACAGTATTCTTTCCTAAAATTTATAATGCTAGTCTAATCATGAGAAAACATCAAAATGAGGGACATTCTGCAAAATACATGACAAAAACTTTCAAAGTCATGAAAAGCAAGGGAAGACTGAGAAACTGTCAAGAGACCAGAGGCGACTAAGGAGACTTGATGAGTTAATGCAATACAGTATCATGGATTCGATCCTGTAGTAGTAAAAAGCACATTTAATAGAAAAACTGGTGAAATCCAAATAAAGTTTGGAGTTTAGTTAATGGTAATCTGCTAATGTTGGCTTTTAGTTTAGACAGATATACTATAGTATTAACATCAGAGAAGTCTGAAACTGAGGTAGATGGGAACTCTGTACTATCTTGGTAACTTCTCCATAAATTTTAAGTTATTCCAAAATTTAAAGTTTATTTTAAAAAGTTCAGGCCAAGTGTGGTGGCTCATGCCTGTAATCCCAGCACTTTGAGAGGCTAAGGTGGGAGGATCATTTGAGGCCAGGAATTTGAGACCACCCTATCAACATAGCAAGATCCTAGCTCTACAAAAAAATTTTTAGAAAATTCGGGCGTCCTCCTAGCTACTCAGGAGGCTGAGGCAGAAAGATCACTTGAGCTCAGGGATTCAAGATTACAGTGAGGCATGCTTGTACCACTACTCTGCAGCCTGGGCAGCAAAGCAAGACCCTGTCAATCAATAGTTAAAAACAAAATGTACAATATAATTTTATTTATGAAAAAGTCTGTATATAGATCTAGATACATTTATATGCATTGATGGTTTATTAAAATGTTTACTAAAATATTAACAGTAATGGGATTTGAGAATGCTACTACTTTTTGGTTATTTTCGCTAGTATTAGATTTTCTTTGATTAGCATGTATTTTTATTTAAAAAACACTATTAAAAACAAAGATAGCAATAAAAGATACTTTGCTTTCCGGTTACCTTTCATAAAATTATTTCTCATAATTTTTCAATCAGAAGTTCATCAAGTGAAGTTGCAGAAAAGTGAAAAATGAGACATGTTTTATGACGTATGTTTACATGTCATAAAATATTAAATGACAAAAAGTTTCATGTTAATCAAGTGAAAAAATGATTGCAAGCAATATGTATAGTACAGACCCCTAATTCTTGCAGTCAGTCTTGGTCCGAAAATATTAAATGTAAAATTCCAGAAATAATCCATAAGTTTAAAACTGTACACCATTCTGAGTAGAGTGATGAAATCTCTGTGTCCTGCTCTGTCCCACCTGGGGATGTGAATCATACCTTGTTCAGTGTATCCATGCTGTATATGCTACCTACCCATTAGTCACTTGTAGCTGTCTAGGTTATCAGAGCAGAAAAAAAATATTATACATAAGGTTGGATACTATCTGTGGTTTCAGGTATCTGCTGGATTTTTAAGGTGAAAGAACTATTCTTTATGGTACTGGAGTGGTACGTACATGACTTTATGCATTTGTCAAACCTCACAGAGCTGTAAATCACAAATAGTGAAGCTTGATGTATGTAAACTGGGGGAAAAAGTCATCAAAGAACCTATCACAGGATCAATCCCAGGATAAAATGTATTCTCTTGACAAATGAACCCAGTTCTTACAAATGAGTGACATAACTGCTTAAGATGATGGGGGCAGAGAGTGTCCTAAATTACTGGAAAATGGTATCAAGTTCCAGGTATCTCTTGGAAGTTATCCCCTGTAGACAAGGGAGAACTACTGTACTGTTTTGTACTTAACCTGTATTCTAAATTTTCCACAATGAGTAGGTATTACTTTCATAATAAAAATGTTGCACTAATATTTTCATGGGACTGACCAACATCAGAGTGATATTTGGAACTTGAGTCAAAAGCTTTTAACTTAGGTTAAAACTTTTAAGAATTTTTCTGGATAACATAAACTGCTTGTAAATAGTTTATATCTTAAAATTTAGATGCAACCATGTCTTCTTCAAATAACATAATTAAATTGCTTGGCATAATCATATATTGATTTAACATATATTTTGAAAGGTACAAAAAAATTACATAAAATACAAGTTTTGCTTGTCCCCAAAGAATGATAGTAGCTGAAGATTTTAGTCACTGAATTTAAAAACCCTTTTGGAAAGCAAATAAGAAATTCAACTTTTTTGTCAGAATTATATGCCTTGTATTTACCCTGAGAATATGTAAGTATTAATACTACTTTTTTAAAACCAGACTGGCTCAGGTTAGATGTTTCAATAAATATTTATATCATAGTGGTATAGTCTCAACTTTTGGTGAGTGCTTTCTCTATGCCAACTACTTGATATATAACTTCTCATTAAGTCTGCAAAACGATGCTATGTGATGTACATGGTACTAACCTGATTTTATAAATGTGGAAACTAAGGCTCAAAAAATTGAATATTGAGTAACTTGCCCAGAGTTGCACATGATACATATTTGGTAATTTTGTATTAAAATATTTGTAAATTAAATATTTTTTAAAATGCTGACACTCAACATTAAGTATGCTTTATGTGCAAACAATTGCTCATATATATATCACCCTAACTTCATACTTTCATTACAAGCTAATATAAATTATAAAAGGAGTGACATGAAATTTTAAGCAAACATTTATAGATTTCTGAATTCATTTTATGTCACTTTTAGGAAAGTTTTAAAACATCAGGCAGAGTTCTTTTTGCATGCTTTATGTTTTTCTGATTTTAATTAGTGTAGGTTTCTAATTTATGTTTTAGTGTAATTGCGTCAAATGTTTAGTAATCATACTCTTGGACTTTTTCTGTTTCAGGCAGAAAATACCACTGTGACAAAGGATTTTAGGAGAGTGGAAAATGCTTATCACATGGAAGCAGAGGTATGTACTTATCTTAACAAATAATTGGAAGCAGCATGATTTTGTGGAGACATTTATTTTTATTCTTGAACTGGAATGGTGAAAAATGCTTCTCATGATATTGATAGAAGATTATTTTTCTCAAAATCATGTTGGTGTTATGTATCTATTTCAGCTTTTAAATAAATTTAGTGAGATTTAAGAGAAATAGTTTAAAATGGAATAAAAACAGCAAGTGGGAAATAGTAGTTAATTGCCACTAAATAAAATTTTAGTACTATCATCTAATGTGCAGGTAACACTACAGAAATCTCTTTTTAGATAAAAAGCAAATAAACAAAGTGATAACCTAAAGGATTTGAAATACTTTTCAGCAGTCTTTTGTTTTGCAGTGCAGTTTTACTGTATTGTGATAAATATTGTTTAAAAATGAAAACCCTTTAACCTTTATACAAATTAAAAAGAATAAAACTATTTTCAGTATACTCAATTAATGACAACATGTAGTTCCTACAGCTGCCTATACTTTTTACTTATATTTAAAGATTTGATGGCCAGGATTTTGTGAAATCAGAGTGTGTTCTAGTGGTGGTTAGGTTACAGGACTGCTGTTTCTGATTCCAAACATTTTGGAGTATGTGCCTAGTCCATGTCACTTCCTTGTAACAGGAAACAAAGGGTGGGGTTATATTGAAATCTTGTATATCAAATGAGAGAATCTTTGTCTTTTGAAATAGAAAATATCCCCATCACCTGTTTCTGTCTTCAGGCAGACAATACATTGGTTTTCTGACTTTAAGGAGGTGACCTTAGGTTCAAATCACTTAGGCCCAGATTTCTCAAAGGTCATATAACAAGAATTAGATTAGAAATTAGAACCCTGGGTTCTTATCTCTTCAGAAGCAACTTCCACAGTATTCTGTTTGTTGCCCCAATGCTTCCTGTAATCATTTTGTGATTTCTCCACTTAAAATTTTACTGTGTCAAGGAATTTTTAAATGACTCGTTATGATTTTAGGGATCCACTTGGCAAAACTTATTTTGTAGTAGTAGGAACTGAAAAATGCCTTTCAAAACAGTATGAAGAGCAGTCTGATCCAAATTACAGAGGTTAAAAGCTGGTAGTATGTTATAGTACTCCTCCAGTAATTATCACCTGTTAGCACTTCAGATTGTAATGAATATAAATAGGAGCAAGTTATCTTAGTTAAGTAGGTTTATTAAGAAGGAACCAAGGGAATAATGGGAAAAAGGAAACAGTCCCAGAAACTACACAGCCAGGCTTCATGGAAAACTCGAACGTGTTTGAAACCACTGAGTTGTTCTAGGAACTGACCTTTCAGATGCAGAAAGAGAGCATTAGAGCTGCTTGTTTTAAAACATGACTAAATGGGAGGTTGGCTAAACTCTGCTCCTCTTCCTTCTACTTTACTTACCTTTTTAATGTTTTATATTCAGATTTCTTAAGAGATAATCTGATTATATTTTGTATAGGGATTCCAGGTAGCCAGAATTTATATCATATCACACAGTACAATACATGATTGCCCTTAGGTCAGCACCAGCAGTCAGTGGAAACCAGAGTACTGGGATCACAAAATACAAAATGTACTAACCTAAGCATTAATAACAATGTGTGGCTTTATGGCTATGGATTTAGCAAACACTAAAACCTAATGTATAACACATACCAATATTCTTAAGTACTGTTAGATATATGGAAGATTAGATGGTTGGTAGACTCCTACAACTCAAGTGAAGAAAAGCAAATAACTTGATTTTAAAAATGAACCAAGGACTTGAATAGACATTTATCGAAAGAAGACATACAGATGGACAAAAGGTATAAAAAAAGGTGTTCAGCATCACTAATTACTTGAGACATACAAATCAAAACTATATTGAGCTATAACCTCACACCTATTAGAATGGCTATTATCAAAAAAGCAGAAGATTGGCTGGTCACGGTGGTTCATGCCTATAATCTCAGCACTTTGGGAGATCGAGGTGGGCGGATCACGAGGTCAGGAAACCCCATCTCTACTAAAAATACAAAAAAATTAGCCGGGTGTGGTGGTGGGCACCTGTAATCCCAGCTACTCGGGAGGCTGAGGCAGAAAAATCACTAGAACCCGGGAGGTGGAGGTTGCAGTGAGCCAAGATAGCGCCACTGCACTCCAGCCTGGGCGACAGAGCAAGACTCCGTCTCAAAAAAAAAAAAAAAAAAACAGAAGACAGTGTTGATGAGAAAGTGGAAAAATTAGAACGCTTGTGCACTGCAGGTGGGAATGTATGATGGTGTAACCATTATGGAAAACAGTATACAGGTTCCTCAAAAAATTAAAAATAGAACTACCATATGATTCAGCAATCCCACTCCTGGATGTCTATCCAAAAGAAGTGACATCAGGATCTGGAAGAAATAACTGTACTTGCATGTTCATTGTAGCATTATTCACAACAGCCAAGATATGGAAGTAACCCAAATGTCCATAGACAGATAAATGGATAAAGAAAATGTGTTATATACATACAATGAAATATTATTTGGCCTCAAAAAAAAAAAGGGAGCTCCTACCATTTGCAACATTGCTGTGCCTGCAAGACAGTATGTTAAGAGAAACGTCAGTAACAGAATGATAAATACTGGATTATTCCACTTACATGAGGAGTCTAAAATAATCAAATCATAGAAGCAAAAAATAGAAGCTGGTTGCCAAAGAATGGAGGGAAGGGGAAATGGGATTTCTTACTCAATGGGTATAAAGTTACAGTTATGCAGGTGAATAAATTCTAGATATGGGCTATACAGCATAGTGCCTACAGTTAACACAGTGTTGTGCACTTAAAAATTTGTTAAGAGGGTAGATCTCATGTTATGCTTTTATCATACACATGCACAAAGCAAAGAACACAAGGAAAATTTTAGAGGTGATAGATACGTTTATTGTCTTGATTATAGTGATATCACAGGTATATGTGTATGTCCAAACTCATCAAATTGTATATTCTAAATATGTGCAGTTTTTATGTATAAATTACACCTCAGTACAGCTCCAATTTTTTTTTTTTTTTTTTTTTGAGACTGAGTCTCACTCTGTCGCCCAGGCTGGAGTGCTGTGGCATGATCTCAGCTCACTGCAACCTCTGCCTCCCAGGTTCAAGTGATTCTCCTGCCTCAGCCTCTGGAGTTGCTGGGATTACAGGTACCTGGCTAATTTTTGTATTTATCGTAGAGACGGGGTTTCATCATGTTGGCCAGGCTGGTCTCAAATTCCTGACTTCAAGTGACCTACCTGCCTCGACCTCCCAAAGTGCTGGGACTACAGACGTGAGCCACCCAGCCTGCCCTAAATAATTTTTTTTTAAAGAATAGATGAGGCCAGACACAGTGGCTCAAGGCTGTAATCCCAGCACTTTGAGAGGCTGAGGTGGGCGGATTGCTTGAGCCCAGGAGCTCCAGACCAACCTGGGCGACATGGTAAAACCCTGTCTCTACAAAAAAATACAATAATTAGATAGATGTGACGGTAGGCACCTATAGACCTATCTACTCTGGAAGCTGGGGTGGGAGGATAGCTTGAGCCCAGGAGGCAGAGGTTCCAATGAGTCAAGATCATGCCACTGCACTGCAGCCTGGGCAACAGAGTGAGACTCTGTCTCAAAAAAATAAAAATAAAAAATAAAAAAACAAAGAAATATTAGACAGTAGAACATTACTTTTGACATAATATCCGAAAATTTCATTCCAAAAGGCATGAAATTCTTTATCTACCTTCCACCTACCATGCCGCTTATCTTTGTTTCAAAGATAAAAATGTTAAACTCAAGATGGATTAAACACTTAAGTGTAAAACCTAAAACTATATAAACCCTAGAAGAAAACCTAGGCAATACCATTCAGGACATAGGCAGGGGCAGACTTCATGACTAAAACAACAAAAGCAATTGCAACAAAAGCCACAGTTGACATATGGGATCTAATTAAACTGAAGAGCTTCTGCACAGCAAAAGAAACCATCATCAGAGTGAACAGGCACCCTACAGAATGGAAGAAAAATTTTGCATTCTATCCATCTGACAAAGGGATAATATACAGAATCTATAAGGAACTTAAACAAATTTACAAAAAAAAAAAAAACATCAAAAAGTGGGTGGAGGATATGAACAGATACTTCTCAAAAGAAGACATTTATGTGGCCAGCAAACATTAAAAAAGGCTCATCATCACTGGTCATTAGAGAAATGCAAATCAAAACCACAGTGAGATACCATCTCATGCCAGTTAGAATGGCGATTATGGAGAAATAGGAACGCTTTTACACTGTTGATAGGTGGGTAAATTAGTTCAACCATTTTGGAAGACAGTCTGGCAATTCCTCAAGGATCTAAAACCTGAAATACCATTTGACCCAGCAATCTCATTACTGGATATATACCGGAAGGATTATAAATCATTCTACTATAAAGACACATGCACATGTATGTTTGTTGTGGCACTATTTACAATAGCAAAGACTGGAAACCAACCCAAATGCCCATCAGTGATAAACTGGTTAAAGAAAATGTGGCACATATACACCATGGAATACTATGCAGCCATAAAAAGGGATGCATTCATGTTCTTTGCAGGGACATGGTTGAAGCTGGAAACCATCATTCTCAGCAAACTAACACAGGAACAGGAAATCAAACACTGCATGTTCTCACTCATAAGTAGGAGTTGAACAATGAGAACACATGGACATAGGGAGGGGAACATCACACACCAGGGTCTGTCAGGGGGGTGGGGGGCTAGAGGAGGGATAGGATTAGGAGAAATACCTAATGTAGATGACAGGTTGATGGTTGCAGCAAACCACCATGGTATGTGTATGTAACAAACGTGCATGTTCTGCACATGTATCCCAGAACTTAAAGTATAATTAAAAAAAAAAAAAGTCCAAAAAGAGAGCACAGAGTGAAAGAGAATAATCAAAAAAATTTCTCCAAAATGTACTAAAATGCAAGATTTGAATTTC